GGGTGGAGGTGGACAAGTGTGGCAGATATTGGAGGCAAGTCCAAACAAGCAGCTCTTAATGTAGTACAACACAGGACAGTTCATCTGGCAGCATACTAGATGTACACAGCATCATGTATCAACATCTGGCAGCAAACTGGGTACAAACCTCATTGTGTACCAATATCGCCTCTTTTCCAGCTCCCAGTTTACATGAGGATATTAAATTCATAATCAGTTTACACTCTTTCAACGATGTCAAATCATTTACTCTTATTCCCCTCGCTGCTGATTCACAGAAAAGTCACATTTCAACAGTGGGTAGCCAAATGCCCAATGAGAAAATTGCCATCCCCTTTGTAACTCCAGTATCCCACTACAACTAATTAAAATATACATTGTCCTGAGCAGTCTCCACAATCAACCCAGTTAGCACAGCCCTTTCCCTTTATTCATATGTGTCCCTCCTGCCTGACCACAATCCCCCATGGTTACTCCCGTACGGAACAAAAAATTTTTTTTTGATAAGAGGACTGCTGAATATCCCAAGCCAATTGGGAAAAAAAAAAAAATCAGTCCTTCTCAGTTCCAATTCCTTCCACCAAGATTAGAAATAACAAACACGAGCTGAAACACAAAAGTACACAAGCTGATACCAAATTTCTCCCCACTCCTTCGTTTTGATAAAATCTGCAACACTAAATTGTTGAACTGAAGAGAAATTAAGTCAGTTGGATGGACAATGGAGAGAGGGTGCTTTGGCACAATGGCAAGGCGTGGGACATAGCCAGCTCCCCACTCTGTAGTAAGACACGGTGAGCTGTGATTATAGCTCATTAACTGTCTTCCCGATCAGCCTTTAAACATGGCGGCTCCCTAACTTTGTTTCCCAGATCATAGCCCTTTTGAGGCATGGGGCGATTTCCGGTTCAAAGGTCGCCATCATTTGCTACCCTGTAATCTGGGCCAGAGGGTGCAGACACCTGGGGAAGCGAGGGGAGAGGGGAAACGTGACCAGTTGGGCCATTGCAAAACAATGAGGAAATGTTTACATTTTTTTTTCAAAGTGCCTTTAAGATCGCAAAAGACTGTCAAATGCTCCTTAGGAGCAAGGGTGACTTGCCCAGATAGCCCCCAACCCGTTTCCACTTTGCCAATTGAACAAGACTTTCAGAGGCAGAGGGAGCTGTGGTGAAAGTTGGGTTGAGGGCAAAATGAGTGGGGAAAAATAAACCTATGGCCAGTGGCTCTAATCCACTTGAACCCAGGCCAATCTCCTCCATCATTCAACTTAAATATGTAGACAGATCCTAGGTGCTTTTTACTACCATCCCAGCTCCAGCTGTCCTCCTTTCCCCAATGGGAAAGATTTGCCATCACTGACCTGCCTCTCAACATCTCCACTCTTGTCTCCACCAGGCCTCCCTCTCGCTCAGCTCCACTGAGCAGTTAATTCACACCCGTCTCAAAAAGGTCCCACTTGACACAGTGAAATAGAGATTTTCTTCTATTACAGACATTGGCAACGAGAGCGGTCACCACACACACACCGCACCCCCCCGATAAATAAATATTACCGGCTTAGAAAATTAGCAAAGGGTTGGGGGTAAGAGTAGGAACCAGTAACACCACAGACACTCATGCTAGAGGCTTCTTAGACCAATGTGTATTTTTATGCAGAATATGAGCTGTGTATGGTTTGGAGCTATCATCAGAACAGCTTTCTGCGCAGTTTTGAACAGCTAATAGCAGTCATTTGCTGTAGTTACATGAAGGAATAGGTTCCCCTTTACAGAATCAGTTTGCCTCCTCCAAAACAAGAGGGAAGCAGAGAACGGTTTAACAATGGCAGGGAGACAATACCCTGACCATAATTCTGGACACGGGAGAACACAACAGCAAAGAACCACAGTGCTGATTGGTCACCTGCCTGACACATTGGCAGCAAGGAGTGAATGAAATTTGCTGGGAACCTTTTTTAAAAAAAAAGTTCCCCTTAACTCTGTCAGGGTTCCATTCCCCTACTGTCACCACCACCACCAACCACCACTAACCCCCACCCCCCCACACCAGTCAACATCTTTTTCCCCCTCCCGTCTCAACAAAAGAAGCCAGCCTGCCTCCACAGAGAAAGAAAGAATCTTTTAAAAAAATTACTTAGATATTAAAACTTCGTTTTTTTGTGTGTGTGTGTGTGTGTGTGAGATGGTTTTGTTGCTGTTGCATGGTCAGCCCTCTGTTGAACGTCTGCCTCTCGACAGGGAAGGTGCACAGAACACATACAGCGTAGCCTCACGCACCATCTTCAATCCTTGACAATTTCAGTGTCTCTCCCTGAGCCTCTGTTGCTTGCTTCATGGCCGATGAAACCTGTAAGTAGGAAAGAGGGTCCAGATTTCAATTGGTATCAATACCAGCAATATGCATTTACACCATGCATGCCATGAATGTTGCAAAACAAAAACAAACAAACAGTTTGCAAGAGTAAACAATTTGATACCTGGAGCCACATACGACAGATGTTCTAGAGAGAGGTAGTGGTGGTTTAGGGAAAGTTATCTCCCTTGTTTTTATTCTAGTTGGCTCCTGCTTGCTACAGCTCAGGAGTGAGCTGCTGTATGACCAGAGTAATTCAGTTAGCGCTCCCAAACAGCAGAGGGTTCAAAGCCTGACATTTGAGAGATGACAGGATCAGCCCAAGCTCGCTGTAGGATGCTCGAGTGCCGTGTAAGTGACTCATGTCCTCCAGACCTTGCAGAGAGGGGGAGGTGGTAATTGCTGCCCTGAGCAGTGAAAAGATTCAGCAGCTGCATTTCCCCTACCAGACCGCAGGAGGGAGTAGGGGGAACGTGGGAGGGATCCAATGTCATAATGCAGCATTTACAATAGCAATGCCAGGCATTCAGAGCAACAGCAGAATGTGAGACAAAAAGAGTCAGACAGAGGGTGAGGCGATAGCACAGGAGGAAGAGGGAAGGGGCAAGAAACAGACAGAAAACAGATGGAGCCCAAAGCCAGCTTACCTCGTTAAATGTCGGCTTTCTTCATGCACTTCCATTTCCCGGCTTTTGAATTCATTTAATTCTTTCCGTATTGCAGCCTTAGTAAGCAGAAGGAAGGGAAAAAAGAAAGAGATGATGTTCAATCGTGTAACAACAGGCTAGCAATTCAATAAAACAAAGAACTGTGGATGCTGAAGATCTGAAACAGAAATTGCTGGAGAAACTCAGTTCTGAAACAGAGTCACCGGATCGGAAATGTTCACTCTTTCTCTCTGTCTCTCTTCACAGATGCTGAGTTTCTCCAGCACTCTCGGTTTTTGTTTGAAGTTAGCGACTTAGCTGCCTCGGTTACTGGCAGCTCTTTGGCCCATGGGGAGTCTTTCAGTATTAACCTGCAGAGATTAGCATCACAAACCGTGCACCAACCACTTCCAGGGCTGTGGTTCATCTCTCGGCTGCTTCTGCAATAGGCAGGCCTCAGGAGGGAAATATCAACTTTGATGGTTTGTTTTCTGCTACAGGACCCTCACTGCCGCTGCCAGATTTGGGAGTTTGCTGTGCAGTCTGGGGAAATCAATAATCCGGCAAAGATTAATCCCTGTGCCCTAAAAGACGGCCAGGAATTAACCCAACAGCTCTCTCTGCCTGACCCCAGACAGGTTTCACATCCAATGGAGGATATTGCCATAATATGGGGGAATGCAGCAGTCAACCTATGCACAGCAAGATCCCACAAGCAGCACCGGAGATACCAGCCAGATTGTGAGATTTTTAAGTTGAAGGATATACATCAGCCAGAACATTGGGAGAAGCATAATCCTTTTCCAAAACAAAGTGCTTTTCCATCTCTTATGTCCACCCAAGAAGAGCCTCAGTCTCATCTGGAAGATGGCAGTGCTCTCTCCTCAGTACAATGCTGGAATGCCAGCCTGGATTAGTTACACCAATGTCTGGAGCTGGACTTGGAGGGATAAGTGCTGCCCACTGAGCCGAGAGGAACAGAGAGCAGCTCACAGTCTGCAGCAACCTCCTAAACACATCTGGGAAGGTCAAATCAACGACGACACTGCAGTGCTAGTGTCTTTATCCTCACTGGTCCAGAATGGCTCCCAGTTAGCAAATGCTCAATTTTAAATTTTTCATCTGTGTTCAAACCCCTCCCTCCATGGCCTTCCCCCTCCTGATTTCTGAAGCCTCCCACTAGTCTCTGGGATGTCCAAGCTCCACCAATTCTGACAGCTGGACTGTGTTAACTAGGAAAGTGCTGGAGGTTCTCACCTTATCAGCAGGTGTCAGCCGGGTCCAGGGTTTGTCAGCTCGTCGGTCATAGTCCTGAGCTTCTGTCACTTCTACATACTCGTTAAAACGCAGAATGCGCCGGGCTTGTAACTCTGCCACTGTCGGCCTGAGGCTAAGCTGTGAGGAAAACAGACCAGTCATTAGCCACATTAAGATCTAGAAATCTTTCACAATCAAACATTACATTGGCAAGAAACTGACATGGACTTAAAACGTACATCAGGAACTATGTCAAATGACACCCTCTGTTACGAGGATGATGGGCTAAAAGATCTCTTACTGCACTGGATAATTCTCCAAATCATTGGACTCAATGTATTTCTGGATGCAGTGTCACGGTAACAGAGTGGAGCTGTATACAAGAGTTTTATTCCTTGTTCAATGAATAGACCTTGCAGGGAATTGTATCAGGGTAACAGTCACTAGGGGTATAAAAAAATTCAGCATTTAAAAAATAAAAAAAATCACAAAAATCAGCACCTCCACATGGTTTAACATATGGAATTGAAACAGGAGTTGTGGCAGAGGAGAAATGGGGTGTAAAAGTCGGCATGGGTGGGACTTATTGCCAATTTCCTGTGTCTGACTTGTGCAACAGGAGAACTGTGTCCTCAGTGTGAATTCTGGAGGCAAAGTTTCAGCAAAGACCCATATAAAGATACAACTGTCCATGTTGAGATTCACTGATATCATTTCTGTCACTATGGGTAAATAGATTGTGGTCCCTTGTACTTCTGCACAGTTGATATTTGGCTTTCAAAATATGAGGAACTGATTCCTTAATTAAGATAGAAAACAAGTTAACTTAGCCTTCTGCTATTTGTCCTGATGCATTGGAGATACTCCTTTCTGATGAGTCATATTTTTCTCCACACACAAACCTCACCTCAAAGCCACCAAGACTACTTAAGAATCGGGCTCCAGTCTCAGCAGCCCAGGACTGTCTGCAACCCTGCAGCTTCTTGCGTGGAGACAGGGAATGTTCTAACACTGAGCTGGTAGCATTCTTAATGAAACTGTACAAATTTCCAGGCACTGTTCATGTGTGTTTTAATCCTACAGAAGAGTAATTTATTGAAACATCTACTGATCTGTTCTTTTAAAATGAAACTGCCTACCCAAAGTGCCTGGTTCAATCCTGTAGCTCAGAGACAGAACAAGTATTTTACAGGTAAATTGTTGCAGGTAATGACAAGTGGGGTTTACCTTGCGAGTCAGCCTCCTCCTGATCTCCAGTCTCTCCTCATGTTCCTCCTCTTCATTTCGATCTGTTTATTCAAAAGGAAAGGAGAGGGTTAGAATTAAATGAAAGGCTGCTGCAAAAGCCATAGCAATTATTCAGCACAGGTTTGATGTATGGGGAATTCTCCACTGCTCCAACTCTCACTCCTACAGCTGTGATGTGTGTAAAGACACCCCTTGGAGCAACGTCACTGTGCGTTGCGGCGTCTGTACCGTCCTGTTTATGGTCCCACGTGGTGGCAGACACGTGCATAGTGTTGTGTATGTTGTTTTAGGGGAGGGGAGAGGGAAGCTGCTTGGCACACAGTCACTGCATTGGTTGTCCATCCAAGGACCTCCATTTCCCACTCCTGACAGGAAACAGGAAACACAGAGACAATGATACAAGGCTCAGTGTGGTAAATTGTGGAAATGGAAGTGGAAACTGAGAAGGAACACAATGTCCCTCCCACATACGCACACACACGTTGTGCCTTTGACTCTGCTAAAGGCCGAGTGACCACAAGCAGCAAATCCCACTGACTTGCATTGATATTTCCCTTCAGATCCAGGACAACAACAACTTGCATTCATATAGCACCTGCAACATAGTTAAATGCTCCAGACTGCTGGCAAACTGAAATCGACATGGGAGCACGTGAGTACATGTTAGGACAGATGAAAACAACAAAGAGATGGGTTTTCATGAGGGAAGAGAGGGGCAGAGTGGTTCTGGGGAGGGAAGTCCCATGTTAGGGCCTTGCCAGCTGTGGGTGTCTGTATTGAGAGGTGAGGATAGGGGATTAAAATAATCCAGGAGCACATGGACTCAGACACCTGCATGTGTGCATGGAAGCCTGTTCAGTAGCGATTCTCTAAAGGGAATTTGAAAACCCTTAAGGAGGAATGATTGCAGGCCATCAAGGAAGGGACACTAACCACTGAGGTCAGCATTTGATCCTCATTTTTCTGTTTATTACTCACTCACTCAGTCTATTTATTTCTGAGAGTGGTAGAAGTTAAAACGTAACAGGATATTAACTGAAGGACAAGGACAATATTCCTGAATTCTTGCCCTCATCTGTCCCACTTTAAAGGGAGAGTAACAAAGCTTTATACAGCATATCATACAAAGGATTAATTGCAGTGAGGTGATGATAAATGTCTGTTACAGCACAGGGGTCAGTCAGTCCATTGTGCGTGTACAGTTGCTCCTAAACAGTTATTCAAGTCATCTCAATCTTCCTGCTCGTTCCTCCAAGCCCTTCAATTTATTCAAACCCCTTTTGGATCCAACTATTGAGATGCCTTGCACCTGACCCACAGCCAGCTCATTCCAGATTATAATAACTGACTGTGTAAAGAATAAAAACTCATCTCTCCTCTGGTTCATTACCAATTATCTTAAATCTAAGTTGTCTGTTCCCTGCCAATGTAATGTTTTCTCCTTGAAATCCTTCAGAATTTAAACCTCCCACTAAGCTTTTCTGTTTCAGGGGAAATAATCACTCCCAGAACCAAAGCCCTTTGCAGGTCCCTTGTGATCATCTCAGAATCTGTGCCAAAGCAATGGGCATTGCTACCCTGCAGTATATCAGAGGCATCAGAACTGATGTGACATGTTGTGACTTCTGTCGTCTTAACTGGTGCTCATTTTAAAATCAAAAATCAGTCAAACCACAAGGAAATAGCAGTCGGGTTGGAAGGAGGAGGGGGTGTATTCAGAGATGCTGTCCTGTACCCCTCCCTGACCCACACGAGTGGCTTGGCGGATTGGAATGGGGTACAAAGTGAAGCCGGAAGTGAAATGCTCTCAGCGCTGAAACAGTTACATTTATGCATCAGCTGTTGCCTGGCGTCAGAGGGAAGCCTTGATGACGTGTGGGAGGTGGACTTTCCTCTCCTGGTTGATCCCATACACCCGGGGAGGGGGAAGAGGAGGAGCAGGGAATGCGGGGGTGGATTCCCCCCCCCAACCCCCACACCTCATCCTCCTCCACACACACGTGTGAGGCTCTGCGGCAGACAGGGGCATCTTGCTAATAGTCAACAGATTGCAAAAAGGCTTTTTTAAACATCATCTGTCAGAATCCCACATCGCATTCACCCCAATCACTTTCTGCTGGTCAAATCCTTCTCCTACTTCATTCTTTCCATCATTCTCTCCCTGTGAAGCTCTAGGCTTTTTTTTCCATTTTGCAACGAGCTTTAAATTTAAAGTTTAAATCCACAGGCTTCCAGAATGATATATATTCTCTCAACATACTGGAGCTCCAAATCCCATGTGGCATCTATTCAAATGCAGATCCAGACAATCTGTCCTGGTGCAGAAATTCCGCTGCAGCTCTTGGGGTGAGGTTGTGAGGGTGATAGCTGATGTTTGCACATCCCCGAGACAGCTCCCAGCCCCAGCACTCCAACCCATTCAACTCACAAAGTCTACAGAAGCAGGAGAGCAGACTGAATCTTACTTACATCTTAAGATGTTCCTCTGTTCCAGTTCTTCCAGTGAAGGTCTTTGGCTCAGCCTCCTGCCGAACACAATGACAATGGAATAGTGCACCATTTTACAATCTACAAGAAATAATTCCTTCTCTTGTCCTCTGGAGCAAAATACAAAGAGCTGCTAGCTGAGCAGAGAGCTGCTGATATCTCCCGACCTCCAATTGCTTGCAGTAGTCAGAGCTGTACCACTGTCAGCTTGCAGTGATTCAATGCCAGAGCCTCCACTGGCTTTATATAGGCTGGAGCTAACTGTTCCGGAAGAGAGGGGCGGGGAAAAAGGGAAAAGAAAGAGAGAGAGAGAGAGAGAGGATCGGAAGAAACACAAACCTTGGTCACATTATACATCCACGTGCACCTCTCATTCTCCCTTTCTCTGTTCCTCTTTCTCCAGGGACTGTCAATCATTCAAAAACAATAATAATAGTGGGATTTGTTATCCAGTTAACAGTCAGAGGGAGGCAATAATCACCGCCCTCCCCCACTCCAGAAATGTTTTATTCAATCTACTGAGAAGCAGCTTTCCCTGTTTCCAGAGATCAGGACAAGGCCTGTCCACGTCCCTCAGCAAACAGACCAGGCAATAGCTCATCCCGCAGCCCAATCTGGGTGAATAAAGTATGGGTGGCCCTCCATGGGGGGCGTTAAACGGATATTTCTAAAATGTCAACACACCCGCTACTGACAGCCCTTTCTCACTTCATCAGCAGTTACCTCCCACCTCACCTCACCCCACAGACACACACACACAGAAGACAGACAGACACAGAGACAATAGATGGAAGATGCAACCTCTATCTAGTATAGTGCCACAGGGTCATCAATGCTGAGGCCACAATCATTTACAATTTGTATTAATGACTTGGATGAGGACAATGAATGTCCTATCACCAAGTCAGCTGATGACACAGAAACAGCTGGGAAGACAAACAGTATGGATGACACAAGGAGTCTACAACGGAATACAGACAGGTTAAGTGTGTGGGCAATGATTGTCAGATGGAATATCACATGGGTTATGCACTTTGGCAGTAAGCATAGAGCTGCTGAATATTATTTAAATGGGGAAAGATTGTAGAAACCTACAGACTACATGGATTTAGGGGTTCTAGTGCATGAATCGTAAAAAGCTAGCATCCAATTTCAGCGGGTCATAGGGAAGGCAAATGGAATGTTAGCCTTTAGTTCAAAGAGAACAGAGTATAAAAGTATCAAGGTATGTACAAAGCACTAGTCAGACCACACCTGGAATATTGTGAACAGTTTTGGTCCTCATATGTAAGGACAGATATAATCGGGAGTGCCAGAGGCTGACGGGTGACTTCACAGATGTTTATAAAATCATGAGGGGCGTGGATAGGGTGAACAGCCAAGATCTTTTCCCCAGGATGGGGAGTCTAAAACTAGAGGGCATAGGTTTAAGGTGAGAGGGGAAAGATATAAAGGGGACCTAAAGGGCAAATTTTTCACGTAGAGAGTGGTGCATGTATGGAATGAGCTGCCATAGGAAGTGGTGTAGGCTGGTACAATTACAACATTTAAAAGGCATCTGGATGGGTATATAAATAGGAAGGGTTTCGGGGGATATGGGCCAAATGCTGGCAAATGGGACTAGATTTATATAGGAAATCTCGTTGGCATAGATGAATTGGACTGAAGGTCTGTTTCCATGCTGTCCAGCTCTATGACTCTATAATGGCATTAGAAGCAGGCCAGAGAAGAGACAGAGAAGATTCACTGGGTAAACTAGGTGTATGGGTGGGATTTTCTTATGAGGAGGGGTTGAGTAGATTGGGCTGCACTCATTGGAGTTTAGAGGAATGAGCACTGACCTTATTGAAATATGCAAAAGTCTTTGGGATTTTGATAGGGTAGGTGCGAAGAGGCTGTTTCCTCTCGTGGGAGAGTCTAGGATCAGAGGGCTGAATCTCGGAGTGATAACATTTAAGACAAAGATAAGAAGGATTTTTTTTCTCTCAGAGGGTTGTGAATCTGTGAAAATCTTTAGCGCAGAGGTAAGATTGAGGCTGGGTCATTATGTCCGTTAAAAGCTGAGATAGATTTCTAATCATTATGGGGTTACAGGATATATATGGTTATAGGGAAAGGCGATGGCCTAGTGGTATTATTGCTGGACTGTTAATCCAGAGACCCAGATAATGTTCTGGAGACCTAGGTTCAAACCCACCATGGCAGATGGTGAATTTGAATTCAATAGAAAATATCCATCATTAGGTGTATAATGATGACCGTGAATCCATTGTTGATTGTTGGAAAAACCCATTTGGTTCACTAATGTCCCTTTAGGGAAGGAAACAGCCATTCTTACCATGCTCTGGTCTGTATGTGACTCCTGACCCACAGCAATGTGATTGACTCTCTGGGCAGTTAGGGACGGGCAATAAATGCTGGCCCAGCCAGTGATGCCCTCATCCCGTGAATGAAAGAACAAAAAAGAACAGGGCAGGAAAGTGGAGTTGAGGATTATCAGATCAGCCATGATCTCATTGGATGGCAGAGCAGACTTGATGGGTTGAATGGCCTGTCTGTGCTCCTATGTTTTATGGTCTTATGCTGCAAATGACAATGTTCTCCCCGGATAAGGGTTTTCAGAAGATAAAGGAAGATTTCCCACATTCAAAGACACATTGAGCATGTTCTTGCCTGTGATCTACACCTGGAACAGCTTCTTACCAGAGGCTGTAAACTTCAGTGGCAGTCACTCTAGACCAAGCACAGCTGACCCAGTTTCTCTCCAGCTCTTATCACCTGTCAGGGGTTTATTGGAAGGACTTATACACTGAAAATTGGGTTCTCTCACCACCTGATGAACTCACATTCCTAGGTCATCATGAACCCAAAGTGACAAGCTGTGATGGAGGAACTGTACCACATAATGGGATCAGACAAATGCAAAGAAAAATACAAAATACCAGTGGACACTGGAGCTTGGATGAAAGATCCTCGAGCTGCTGAGCATTTCTGACAGTTTCTCTTCTAATTTCACAGCAGCTGGAGTGCTTGTTGCTTTAACCTGTCCTGTCCTACCCAGGCAGCCGGTATGTTCCAGAAAACATAAAGCACACACAAGCCAAGACAACTGACTTTGTCCAAAAATATCAGGTTAAATCTCAGGACATGGTATTGTTGATGAGGCTAGTCTCCTGTTACCCTGAGGTGGTGGAGAACCCTCTTAAATCATTGACATTAGAAACTGAATTGGCAATTCTTTGGGGGGGGGATCTTATGGAAGTGTATAAGATCATGAGGGGCACGGATAGCGTGAATGCACTCAGTCTTTTTCCCAGGGTTGGGGAATCGAGGAATAGAGAGCATCAGTTTAAGGTAAGAGGGGAAACAATACATGGGAACCTGGGGGCTAAAATTTTTACATGGGGGGTGGGTATGCATATGGAATGAGCTGCCAGCAGAAGTGTTTAAGGCAGGTACATTAACAACATTTTTAAGGCATTTGGACCAATACATGGATAGAAAAGGTTTAGAAGGATATGGGCCAAGTGCAGGGAAATGGGGTTATCGTGGATGGACATTTTGGTCGGCATGGACTAGTTTGGGCAGAAGGGTCTGTCTCCATGCTGTAGGACTCTATGACTCTTCTGAGGCAGAATCAAACATATTGACAAGAGACTGGAATCACATAGGGCCCAGATAGGTCAGGATGGCAGGTTTCCTTCTTGTTTTGTTGATAACATCAGTCCACAGCTTCTTGGTCTCCAACTATATGTTTTTGAACAGAATTCAGGTTCTCAATCCACCCAGAGTAGGATCTGAACTCATGTTCACTGCATATCCCCACTATAGAAACAATGTTGTTAAACTTGAATGATTTACAGAGAAGATTTACAAGGATGTTGCCAGGTTTGGAGGGTTTGAGCTATAGGGAGAGGCTGAATAGACTGGGGCTATTTTCCCTGGAGAGTCAGAGGCTGAAGGGTGACCTTATAGAGGTTTATAAAATCAGGAGGGGCATGGGTAGGGTGAATAGTCAAGGTCTTTTCCCAAGGTTAGGGGGAGTCCAAAACTAAAGGACATAAATTTAAGGTGAGAAGTGAAAGATATAAAAGGAATCTAAGAGGCAATACTTTCATGCAGAGGGTGGTGCGTGTGTGAAATGAGCTGCCAGAGGAAGTGGCAGAGGCTGGTACAATTACAACATTTGAAAGGCTTCTAGATGGGTATATGAATAGGAAGGGTTTAGAGGGATATGGGCCAAATGGGACTAGATTAATTTAGGATATCTGGTCAGTATGGACGAGTAAAACCGAAAGGTCTGTTTCTGTGCTGAAAATCTCTGTCTCTATTACTATCCTAGACCCATTAGTGGAAACTAGATCATGACAATAACCACACCATTATTGGGACCTAATAAAATGTGTAATACCCAAGGGAATGGCAGGTTATTGGGAATGTGCTGAACTGTAAAGTTGAGATTAAAATCAGGTCAAACCACATCTCAATGAACGGCAGAGTCGGCTTGGAGGGCCGAGTGGCCTGCTCTCGTTCCTTGTTCATAGTTAGCAGAAACGACAAATAAACTAGTGGCCAATCAATGAGCACCCTTTAATTGTGATCCAGTTTCCTCAAACAGGTGTGAGCATGATCTGTTTCTCAACCTGTGCAAACTAAATGTGAACATTCTCAGCAGTGTAGAAATAGGTTTCATGACGAGTTTTCGCAAGTGTTTGTGGCATCCATAATACATCAACGTCAGGTTTACCCAAACACATGCAAAAAATGCCAAAAGTGGCAACATCACTGACAGTAAACCCTGCATCATGAAACTTATAGGATTCTGAAGTGACTTGACAGGGTAAATGCTGAGAGGAAGTTTCTGGGAGAGTCTAGGACCAGACAGCACTGTTTCAGAATAAAGCAGCATCAATTTAAGACTGAGATGAGGAGGAATTTCTTCTCTCAGAGGGTGGAAAGTCTTTGGAACTCACTGCCACAGAGAGCTGTGGGGGCACAGTCCTTATGTATATTTAAGGCTGAGATAGATAGATTCTTA